TAAAAAAAGAAAAGATAAAGTTAAAAAAAAAAAGAATGAATGAATGAATGAATCAACTAATTAATTAGTGAGTGAGTGAGTGAATGAATGAAAGAAAACGAGGACGAGAAAATGAGAAAAGATAAAAGACAGAGAGAAAGAAATCGAAACAATATATTTTGTTCAAAAGTTTGAATGTCATTATGAAACATCTGCAGCTTCATGCTACGCTGTTTATTTTGTTGGCGAAAAGGAAATTGCGATTTTGCATGAATTTGTAAGTCATAAGGATATTTTTTACCTGAGCAAACAACTACAAGAGATAGAAGCGGTGTCTTAGGGGCCATTTACATGATACCGGAATAAGTTTTGTTCCGGAACGAGTTCATCCCGGTTGATGTACCTCTTTGTACTTGTTTACATGATACTAGGGAAAAATTTCATTCCCGAACGAGTCATTCCAGAACGAGTTCATCCCGGTTGCTATATCTCTTTGTACTTGTTTACATGATGCTAGGGCAAAATTTCATTCCCGAACGAGTCATTCCGGAACGAGTTCATCCCGGTTTTCATTCCAGAGCGAAACTCTCTCGAAAGTCTCCAGCCTTCCCATTATTTAGGTAGAGAAGAGCGGATTTTGAAAAAACCCAATAAACGACCTCAAGTCGCGCTGGAACGTCGCCAGAAGACTGAACAAAGTAAAAGCACGACTGCAACAAGTTTTGAAGCAAATTGTTGAGTGAAACATTTTATTTTCGTAACTTTATCATAACTCCCATACATTCCCTTATAAACCATACACAGGAACCTTGTTTGGGCTGCCTGTGTTCATTCCAGAATGAAACCGCTCTCTGCGGAGACTAAAACGAGTGACGCATGCGTATCGGACCTTTTCAAACTTGAACTCGTTCTTTTTTGAATTTTGTTCATGTATACGCGGTATAACATTTCATTTTCATTCTGGAACGAACTCATTCCGGTATCATGTACTGTAAAGTGTAATCGGTTCTTTTCTTTGAAGGATTTCCGAACGCACAATGCAATTTGTTMATGAGTTTTGTGTTATGGTTCGACTGTAAGAAAAAAGAATACGTTTTACAATATGATCGATGGTAGATAAGAGGAAAAGAAAAACGCTGGAAAAAATTGCCCATACATTTGGAATATTGGCTCTTTTCGGTCTTTTTTCTCTCTTTCCCAAGCAAAAGGTTGTTCTTAAAAGTAAAGTTATATAGCACACGTAAACTGCGTGACAAAACATCCTAAATGACCCGTAAATCTTCTGTTTTTTTTTTTTTTTTTTGCTAACTAGTAGTTAGCGTGTTTTCGAGGCTACGAAATCTAAGAAACCATAAGAGGCGAATGTATAGGCCAACAGATATAGTATGAGCTTATAAAATCAACAAAAATACGGTTCTAAATTTTAACAAATTCCTATGAATTATATACCAAAATGTTCAGGAAAGCCTGGGGTTTTCAAATCCACTTCTGTTTTTTTGACAGGTTCTGTTTTATTTCAAGGAGAGACGACTTTCTAGCTTGACCCCGGTAATGTCATGCATTTTCTCTTGTAAAATTCATCCAACAGCGTACATTCAACTCAAAAAGTACGGTGGTTTTTTCAATAGAATTCAATCTAAACCATATAATACAGTCCGTGAATAGTTGAATTAACTGAATCCACTTAGGTTTTTTGCCTAGACAGTCATTATTTTGAGAAAAGATCCAAAAACCGTGTTTTTGAGACATAATTTGTATGAGCTCACATGAGGGGGCGTGAGCTTGAAATCGTAGCTGACCAAATGTTAACAGCACAATCGAAATATGGAATTGATCATACCATATATGTAGTGAGCTTTCTCTACTTCAACTTCGACACTAACATATAGAGTAAAGCTGATATGCATAACCGATTGGCCGGTAGACCATAAAGGAGACTATTACGATATTCTGGTCACTACTGGTAACTGCCCAAATCCATATTGAGAGAGGCTACAATGGAGTTTGGGTTAACTGACTGCGCTAAACGCTAATTGTTTTCCGTTTGGGTGAACGCTTTTAAGTTGTGCATGTTCACTTCGCGCTGATTGGCTAATTTCCTCTCAAAGATTCGACTAGTTCTTTTGAGAAAAAATCACGTGAAACATGACGTAATCGAACCTTCACCTGTGCTGGTCAGATATTTTTGGCAAATAATTCGAGGTTAAGAACTGATGTCAACTACCTTTTTTCGATCGTATTAATATGCCTTATCTTATCCTGTCTTACTTTTTGGTAAACTTATTTCACATTATCCACTGCGAGCCAACGATTTTTTCATGTCCAACCGATCGTTCTGCCGGAGCCCTGATCCGCAAGAAAGACATGGCACTCAAAGGACACGTTAGAAAAACCCTGGAGAAAACCACATTTATCCAGTGTAGTCTTCGCTGTCTAAAGGAAGATTGGTGTGCCTCGGTCAATTTTGAAATCCGAAAGGGAATRGGAAAATGTGAGTTGAATGACTATGGAGTTGAAGACGAGACAAAAGTATCGATAGAGAAAGGAGAATTCGAGAAGAAAGAAGGGTTTGTCTACACTCAACTCAGACCAGCTGGGGTAAGTTCCATGATATTAGTCTACGATGAAATTAGTAGACAGTGAAAAATGAATATTTTTACCAACAAGACAATAACAAAGAAAGAAAGAAAAAATATAAACAAAGTAAAGAAAATGCGATAGGGAGAAGGAAGGGTTTACATGCAACCAACTCTGATCAACTAGTGCGAGTTTACTACTTTATCCAAACGCTCTCTACAATAATTTATTTATTGTTGCAAAGAATTAAAATCATAGGTCTAAAAAATATCTTAGATATTTACGACTTTGATCCTCTTGGCCAACAAAACAGGACAAAAAGCGAGTAGTTCTAAAATATCTATTTACAAAACAAACTGCACATTTTTATTAATAAGTGGAAATTGTATGCCATATTTGGAACCTACGTCTTCCTTCTTTCTCAGTTTTTTATGTTCTTTTGACTGTTTGATCCTGCGTGTTGACCCCAAGTCAATAATAATCAAATCCAAATCCAATATGAGGCACAAAAGTCCATTCAGGGTTCATAACAATCTCGTTTTTGTCATTTGTAGAATTAGGTTTATTTTAGAACTCACAAATTCATTTACTTTATCATAACGGGCGTTCCACTTTTGGAAGGCAAAAGATGTAATTTCTCATCGCTGCTAATGACAAATAACACCATATCCTAGCTTACGACTAAAAGGCGGAGAAGTAGATCTATTATCTCAAGAGTTAAAAGGAAATGCAAATATTAACAAAGGGAATAACAAATGATTTTTCGGCCTCTCTAATAAAACCAAAAAAAAAAAAAAAAAACTAATATCTTTGTGTGTGTGTGTGTGTGTGTGTTTTTTTTCCAATCTCTTTGTGGTTTAATTATCCCCAGAGAAAAAAAATCGAAATTTGCTTTTTCACTGATTTGTAGAACTTTCTCCAAACATTGTTTTGTCTTTTCGAAAGCATGACACTTGGCATGTATTCAAACTCTTGCTGACCAGAACCTAGTGACACATGGTTTTCGATTTGGCATGAATATTAAAGCTTAATTGAGTCTAGTGCAGGGTTAAAAATAATGAGCATACAATGAGGTTACTCAGACTTGAATGAAATTGAATGCAGAAAAAAAACCCGATAAAAATGGAAAAAATAGAGGGGAAATTGGCTCGGAAGTTGACCAAGGCAAGAGTGTAATCGCATTTCCGACCCTATTTGCTCCCGCCTTTACCGCTGTTTGCCTCGGTAACCAATTTGGTCAGGCTACAGCCGCCCTGCATTGCATTAAAAAACAAAACGGTATCTTAAATGAGTTGTCAAGAGACAGTACTTACATAAATTGCCGTTGTTAAACATTTTACAATGTACAAATACGTCAATCGTTTTTGTCAAAATGGTGAACTACTCAAACATTTTTGAAAAAGCAAAGAAAAACAAAGAGTGAAAGACTCATTGTGGTTTAAAGTGCAATACTTTTAGTACTAGTTCTGCATAAAGTAAATAGTTGAATGGTAAAATATTTCTTGATTTGAGTGATGCGTCTCTAAGTTATGAAGGTTTATACTTCCAATATGCTAATAAGTGTGACGTCTATTAATTAGATATACAAAATTGAACTGGTTTATAGAAACAGTATTAAAAAAGCATCATTATTTTACTCATGGTTTACATAAAAGCTATTTAAAATTTTTATTTTCAAAATGGCCAACATTTAGTATTACTAGTTACAACAAAAACACTCAAATACCTTACCTGACGTCACCATCATTAGCATATTGGAAGTATAAGCCTTCATAACTTAGAGGCGTATCACTCAAATCAAGAAATATTTTACCAATCAACTATTTACTTTATGCAGAACTAGTACTGAAAGTATTGTCGAAGGGTTCATTTGCACTTTAAATTTGTCACTGAATTATGAAATTTACATATTTTTAAGAAAGAAATTTCGTTCTAAATAAAGACATTCATCAATGTAACTGAAGACGTTTTTTGCACGCGCGTGTTTTAAGGATCTTATAGGGCTTGAGAGAGTGAGAGAGATAAAGAAAGAGAGAATATAAGATACTTCACTTAACCTCTCGGAGTAAATGTTTCCATCAATAACACAATTGTTTTTCATTTTAAAAAAGACAAGAGAGACAAGAGAGAGAGAAGCACCATTTTTAGTTTTTGTTGCTAGTAAATCAAAAATTTCATTATATTAGTTTTTAATGAGTGATAAAACATCGTATATTTTTATTTTCTCTGACCGAGAGGCTAAAGGATATTGAGTGCCCCCTCGAAGGTTGTTATATTATATGTTAACATCAATTATTATATTGAAATGTCGCTTCAAGTGCTTCCTTGCTTGTACTCTAAGGTGTTTATTTACCTTTTTTTTTTTTCTTTTCTTTTAATATTCATAAATTTATTTATTTCGAGTTTAAGTTTACTGATATTTTCTTTGCTTGGTTTCCAAAAAAAAAGGTAATTTCATGATACGATGTTCTAAATCTTTAAAATAATCTTTCACGCATTGCTGAAAAATCAATAAAAATCTAAGTTATTTATGGAAACTAGTTTCGTCTTTACCGATCTTATCAAGTAGTTATTGAGATAAGGTGAGGAGCTAGAAACCCCTGACAGCCCTTGAGCTATAAACAGGAGATCATCATGCAACAACCAACTCTTCTCTACATAGCATGACTCTATCCTCCTACAAATGTGTTTACGCTAAGACACCAAAAGCCAGTTAGTGTAGACCGCGCTTGTTTCATTTACGAGTGAAGCTAAGTACGAGCAGCCGAAAATGCGGCTGCATTAACTCATTGGGCTCATTTCTTTTTTCTCAAAACCCAGCATTGGTCAAGAGTTGTCTCTACATTTCTTTTATGCATCATCTATTTGATAATGTTTAACGACTAGTTATTCGCTGAAGGCTAAGTGATTTTCGGTGAACATTTACCGAGCCGCGAGTCTTCGAGTTTTCGAATTAGTAAAATTTTAAACCTGAATTATATCAGAGAAAAGAAGAAATTCAGGATTTTAAAATGTTTTAGTATTACTTCCGCTCTGGCAACCTTTGCAAAACAAAAAACAAAAAAAACTCATTATCACCCTTTTGAGCACTGATTGTCTGATCACTGAATCACTGGTTGCTCGACTAATCACAGCACGCGAAACTCTAAAAATTAATAATCATTAGAGAAGATATTTTATAGCAAATCGCTTTCGTGTCATCAATTCCTTGGGAACTGAATGAGATTTGGCCGTTTAAAGTCTTCAAATATAGGTATTCAATCGCACCCTAAAAGCAAGCTACTGCCCGAGGAGGTCATTTAATTTTACCTTATAGACACAAACACATTAAAATGAAGGGTTTTGGTCAAGCAAGTAAATATTATTGCTGGGGAATTTAGGACTAAGAGGATGAGATGACGGCCTTGAACTATAATTATCTTGGCCTTGAATAATACATAAATCTAAAAAATAACATTCGCCAAATAACCGAATTCGAACTCATTGTCGTATGTGGGTAGAGCGAGGTTGACATTTTTGATATTTCTTTATTGGYATACACCTATTTCGAAAAACGTCAGTCGGAAATCTGAAATTGGAAATCTGAGACCGGTTGGATTTTGCCCTTTGGATAACTAAACTTTTGTCTTTTTCTTTATGAAATTGTTGTTTATTTTGGTTATAGAAATATAGATAAGTTATAGTGCTTTGGAACGAGGTTATTCCGGGCGGAAGACCCTTGGAAAGACCCTCGGAAGACCCTTTGGTTCGTGAGTGGGAAGTAAAATAGTGTCAATGATGTTGTACACCGAATGAATGAATGAATGGATGGAAGAATGACAATTTAAAGGAAGAAATAAATGAGTAAATGAATCATTCCATTTGTACTTTAAAAGGATATTAAAACCCGAATATTGACTGAGCTATGGAAGTCTGAAGGAGAACACTTCCATTAACTTTGTCCATTTTAAAACACTCTCAAAATAGTCTTTATAAAAAWTTTCTACATTACGAATATGTCAATTTACTTCTTAAACATTCCCTGATATCCGTTATTTTGCAATGTTACTGTATATAAGCTGAGAGTATGTGGACCTAACATCTATTTCACCCCGGCCTGCTCTCAGTCTGACCTCTAGCTCAGCTGGTAGAGCATCGGTAGTACAATTCCGAAGGTCGTGGGTTCGAATCCCAGCGAGGTCGGAAATTAATTTTTCCGAATTTAATTCCAAGGGCTTTCGCCCGGAATAACCTCGTTCCCAAGCACTACAACTTACCTATATTATCTTCTGTATATAAGCTGTACAATTAACAATATACAATGATGAACGGCCGCTACATTGGTTTAGTGTCTCTGCTCTATAGGAGAAAAACGTCTAGTTATCGCCCTATCGTCACTGATTCCAGTTTTAAAATTCCGAGGACTTAAGAGGATTTTCAACAGGGGTCGTAGTCCGATCGATAGTTATGTTTACAGTGACTCGAAATTTGGAGTAAAATTGACTAAGGAATTTTAATTGTATTTGGAAATCTTCAACGCTAGAGAACAAACTGGACGGATAAACAAAGGACTGATGATTAACTAATTGGTATAAAAATGGATACACAAAGTTTCGAAATTAGGTTGAAATAATTCATTTTTCGTGTTGTTTTCGTTTTTGAGAAACAGGATTGACGAACCAATACAAATGGCAAGAAAGCCAATATCCCTCATTAACTCCTTCTTATATAGCTCGTTATAAACAGTTAAGAAGAGGATGTATATATAATGAGAAAAGAAAACCTTGTTTCTCTTAGAGACAATATAATATGAAAAGAAATTTTAATCAGTGCCAATATCTTGAGTAACCTTTAGTTTAAGATCGTGACAATTTTTGTAGGAAAACAAAACTGGCCTTACAGTGCATAGTGGGACCGATTTAGGGACCGGTCATTATTTAAGTCGGAGGGGGGGGAGAAGAAAATGGTGGGCTCTCAATTTTTTTATTTTTATTTTTGTGGAACACGAGGGGCCTTCAAAGTTCAAAAGGAGGATTGGGAGGATTAGGAGGATTTTATAAACGATTTGGGGGG